ACTCCCCGATACTTCCCCTACACTCTTCTCCCTCCCCCTATCAAAAAAATTACAGAGATTCCTTTTCTACTATCACAGCATCCTTTTTCTCCTGATTGGTTGTCTGTTTCCTTCTAACTTCTGCATATGAGAGAAAATATATGGTACATTTCTCACTGAGTATGACTTATATTGCTCAAAATTATATTCTCCAGTTCTATCCATTTTCCTGCAAATGACATAATTTTATTCATCTTTATGGCTAATATTCCATTGTGTATATGTACCACGTTTTCTTTATCTATTCTCTGTCAATGGACACCCAGGCTGATTCCATAACTTGACTATTGTGAATTGTGCTGTGGTAAGCTTCTATCTGTAAGTATGCTGACTTTAAATCTTTTGAATAAATACCAAGGTATGGTATATTTGGATCATATGATAGTTCTATCTTTAGCTTTTTGAGGAAACTTTAAATGGGTTTCCATTGTGATTTCCAAGAGTATGTAAGAGTTCCCTTTCCTGCATGCTCCCCAGCATTTATTGTTGTTTGAATTGTTGATGATTGCCATTATAACTGGAGTCAGAGAATTTCAGTGTAGTTTTAATGATAAAAATGAACAGTGTAAGCCAGGCATGGTGGCACATGCCTGTAATCCCAGTGTTCAGGAGGCTGAGGCAGGAGGATAGAGAGTTCAAAGCTAGCCTCAGCAACAACAAGGTGCTAAGCAACTCAGTGAGACCCTGTCTCTAAATAAAATACAAAATAGGGCTGGGGAGGTGGCTCAGTGGTCAAGTGCCCCCGAGTTCAATCCTTGCTACTCCCAAAAATAAAATAAAAAATAAACAGTGTAGTTTTGATGCTAGAAATAAAATGATTTGTGTTTCACTGATGGCTAAAAGTGATGTTGAAGATTTTTCCATAAAATTGTTGGCAATTTCTACTTTTTCTTTTGAGAAATGTCTGTCGAGTTTATTTGTTTATATATTGATTGGGTTATTTGTTTTATAATGTTGACTACTTTTAGTTCTTTATTCTGGACATTAATTCTCTTTCAGAAGAGTATCTGACAAAGATCTTCTCCGTTTCTGTAGGTTTTTTCTTCACCTGGAAAATTGCTGGTAAGATTCCATGTTGGACGACTGAAGGATATGGGGTCCAAAGTCCATGGGCAATGGTAGCAGCCACAGATGCATCAACTCAAGAAAAATCAAGCATTCATCCAGTACAGCTTCCTCCTCCCATTTTTTTTATCCCATCTGGGCCCCCAGTCTATTGAACAGTGTCACCATTCAGGGCAAGTGTTCCCCCTCAATTTGCTGTCCCTCATGCCAATTGTCTCTGGAACTACCCTCATAGACATGTCCAGAAGTCTTTTAATCCTAAGCATCTTTAAATCCAATCAAGTTTATAATTCTGATTAACCATCTCAAATGCTAATTGTATGTGGGGCTTTTTTTTTTTTGGCTGTCTTATCTCCATATAGACACTACACCTACCATCTAAGGATGTATCCATTTCTAATGTTCCCTTTATTCCTCACTGCCTCACCTCATCTAGCATATTATTGGGCACACACTACCCCAGTTCATACTTGCTTTCTATCATTACAACAAAGTACCTAACATAAACAAAAGGAGGAAAGGTTTATTTTGGCTCATAGTTTAACAGGTTTCAGTCCATGGTCACTTGGTTCTACTTTTTTTTTTTTTTTTTTTTAGCACCAGGGACCCCATGGGTGCTTAACCACTGAGGCACATCCCCAGCCCTCTTATATTTTGAGACAAGGTCATGCTAAATTGATTAGGGCCTAAATTTCTGAGGCCAGCTTTGAACTTGTAATCCTCCTACCTCAGCCTCCTGAGCTGCTGGGATTATAGGCATGTGCCACTGCACCCCAGCTGACTCTATCATTTCTGCGCCCATTGTAACCATTGTAAGGCAGAATATCATGGCAAGGAGTATTTGGTGAGGAAAAGTTGTTTACCTCATGGCAGCCAGGAAGAAGAGACAGAGGGAGGAAGGGACAAGGAACAAAATATGCTGTTCTAGGGCATGCTCCCAGTAGCCTACTTCCTCTAAATAGGCCCCACCTCTTATAATTTCCACCAACTCCCAATAATGCAATCAAATTATGAACCCATCGATGAATTAATCCCTTGATGAGATTAAAGCAATCATGAGCCAATCACTTTCCTAAAAGCCCCATCTCTGAGTACTGCTGCTTAGAGGAACAAGCCTTCAGCATGTGAGACTTTGGGTGAGATTCCAGACTCAAACCATAACATAGATGCTACAGTGAGTCTAAATACTCTAAATCAATAGTTTAACATTACAACCATCTCAAATTGACCCACATAGTCCCAGTACATAGTGGTACAAAAAACTTTGAAATACCATACAAAATTTGATTGACTTAATCTATTATTTCTTCAGAATTACCTAAAACCTAAAGATTTCATTATTTAAAAGGTAGTATAAAACACTTAAATAAAAAGAAAGTCAATCACATTTTCAAATCTGAAAATCAGACACATAGTTGACTGGACATTTATACATTTAGATGTTGTGGATTATCATTATTACTTAAGTTGAATTACTGTGATAAACCTGGAAAACAGCAAAACAAAGGCTGTTTTATACTTTGATTCTGCCTTCTAATGTTATCATTACTATCTCAGCAGAAACACTGAGAAATAGTGCGAGCAGTGGAATAATGGCAGTGAAAAAGCCATCTTTGTGCTGTTACTGCTTTCCTGTCTTTGTTTAGCTTTGTACAGCCAGCACATCTTAATATCACAAACTTCAAGTTCTATAAGGTAACTAAACTATAAACACAAGGCCACCTGGTTATGGTTTCTAATTGAGGGTAATACATCTATCATATAACCTCAGTATATTCTTGGTTTCTAATGGAAAATAAAACCATTATGGCAAAATCTGAACACCTAAAAAGTCAACTTTACATGATGAATCATGTAAAGTACAACTCCCAATAATGCAATCAAATTATGAACCCATCGATGAATCAATCCCTTGATGAGATTAAAGCTATCATGAGCCAATCACTTTCCTAAAAGCCCCATCTCTGAGTACTGCTGTTTAGAGGAACAAGCCTTCAGCTTTTTTTTTTTTTCTCAAGCAGTTATTCCCTACGCTAACGGGTTTCCAAGAGTTAGGCTATTTGTAATAGCAACTTGTGATTTTAGAAAGGAATAATTTTTTTTTTACCTTTTTCTAACATCAGGGAGGTATTTTACTGAGAGATATAAACAAAGCCAGTAAATGAAGTGTGGTAACAGGCAAAAAGTATGTGAGCAAACTGACTTTAAATGAAGTGATTGTCTAAAGAAAGGTTGCAACTTGTATCAGAAAGAGATTCAATAAGGAAAAAATCCTTAAGAATATTGACAAATATTCACAAAGGGCAAATTTATAGGCATTCTCCCATTCACCAAAGTATGGCTTTTTTCAAACTAATTAAAAACATTTCTATTACATAAAAATGTTAAGCTTACTTTTTAAAAAGTTTGCATTATTGAGAAAAGCATAATCCAAATACTAGCTAATTCTTAACGTCTCTCCAAGACTTAGAAAAGTAACTTACATCAGGAAAACAGATCGAACAGGAAGAAGTAGTGCTTTCCAAATGGACTGGATTTGTCTCCTCTGGGCTCCAGAAAGAACGTACTTATGACTGCTTAAGAAAGGAGAATAGATACTTGGAATAACTTACTCCTATTTTTCCCTTATCGTTTCTCCTGTAGAAAGCAGTAACAACTTCAATACTTCATTAATATTGCTCAAGATAAGTAATATTTTTATCTAATATGAAGTTTCAAGTTTCTTGTTCAAGATAGGCGTGGGCTCAGAGAACAGGGCAATCATGCCATTCAAAGGCATGCCTGAAGCCATTTGTGGTTCATACATTCAAGGTTGAATGCAATACAGTATGAAATATCTTGTGCAAATTAACTAGTCTGAAGGAACATTCAATTTAGGAATTGTCAGGCAATTGTTGAGCATTGTTGTGCTTAGAATCCACCCCCATATTTTCTTTTCTTCTGATAATAGGATGTATTGTTGCCTCACAAAAAAACTCAGTTTTTAGGACCAATGAAACCTGATTACTTAGTAAACAGGTGGCTATGTGTGTGTGTGTGCTGTGTGGCTGTTAATTTATATTCTCATGACCATTTTACAGCTATCTTTCACTTCCAGTGTGTTTATATGAAAAGAGCAGGGAGGGGTACTTGATATCAACAAATTAAAGAACAAGAAGAGGTCAGAATACAGGGATATCACCTAAGTAAAAGATGTCTTTTACACACACAAAAAATGTTCATATTATAGATGGGAACCTGTCAGGGCTTGCAATGCTTTGTTTAGATGATGTAGTCCCCCAAATAGTGAAAGTTTACTACATTCTTTTTAATATTTTTAGTTGTAGATGGACACAATCTTTATTTTTATGTGGTGCTGAGGATTGAACCCAGTGCCTCCTCACATGTGTGAGGTGAGCACTCTACCACTGAGCTACAGCCCCAGCCCAATTTACTACATTCTCCATTCTTATAAATGGTAATATTTAGTAAGCAAAGGTTAATATCTGAAACAATAGATGAAATGTACAGTCTTGCAGATTTGGGATCTTCCAAGATACAATTTTAATGTAAAAAATGAAGTGGCTCCTCTCATGATCGTAGAGCTAACTTCTGTTGTAATGTGTCCCAACCTCTGTTTACAGAGGGTAAAGCATTCTTTTCCTTTTATTTAGAAAACCAATTCTACAATACATCAGTGTTTAAATGACTCTAAATCTTTGAAGGGAACAGTTTGGGTTTGCAATATTCCTATATGTAACTTTTTTACTGACTCATCCCTGGTAAAATCCTGAAGATTTTAAGAAATCCCACACATGAACTAAAAAATCCTCAGAACACAATGGGCTTCAAGTATAGGAACTCTTTGCTGTTTAAGGAAGATAATGATTACAGACGCTATAATGAAAGAGCACCAATGCAGTTTATTTTAATGCTTCTAATTTATGAGAATAATTTCTTACTGCTACATCATTAGTAATCAATACTGAAGTTGGAAAGCACAGTTAAGACCCACAACTGTATTGGACTACACAACTTCACACAATACTAGGCACCATTATTCTAAAACAAAAACAAAAACTGAAGTATGCATGACAAAGTTCTTAATCTTCAGGGGATCCATGAACTCCCCCCCCCAAACTGTACAGAAGTTGTATAGTATGCATGCATAAAATTTTCTGGGGAGCAGCCTCATTAAATCTACTTTTAAAGGGGTACAAGGAGGCTAAGAAACAGTACATGAAAGAATGCTAGTCTCCCCTATATTTTCAATGGTGGAAGGACTGGGCAGGGAAAAACTCTGAAGTGGTGTTTGCTTTATGAGTTCAGGAACATGTTCTGATTTAGAATGGAGAAATCGGCACACAAGTGGTAACATGAGCTGGAAACAAGGACACTCCCAAGAGATTTTGTATGAATAAAGCAATAGCATGAATTTAAGATGCAATTTAACTCCAGTACAATTTTTAGTTTCTGCATATTATCAGCTTATTTTTATTTTTGAATATCACAAACTTCAATCAGAATACTTTTAAAAATATTATTTTGCATGCATTTAACAAATCTGACAAAAAGGACGAGTATCCAGTTTATTTGCGTTATTAACTATGAGGTTTTAACTCAACAGCCAATTAACAGATATTTAAAATAATTAGGTACAGGTAACAATGGAAAAACTTCAATGCATTAATCAGATGGCACCCTATCACTATGCATATGTTCATATAACACTACTAGTAATGACCCTGAAGCACAGGCAAATGGAGATGGAGGACTCTCCCTAAAAAGCAAGTTTAAGGGATTAAATATCATCATCATCATCATCATCATCATCATCATCATCACTACTAAGGACAAAGCTGCTGCCTGTGGATAGTGCATCTTCTTTCACATTCCCCAAAGTCCCTCTGTCATCAGAATCCTCAAACACCTTGTCATTGGAACACTCCTCATCAAACTTCTCACTGGAATTGCCATCTTCAAATACCTTTTCATCTACATCTTCATCTTCCTTTATGTCTGCATCTTCTTCATCTTCCTTTTCATCTGAATCTTCAAACAGCTTTTCATCAGCATCCTCCTCTTCTTCTTTCTCATTAGCATCTTCCTGCTCTTTTTCATTGGCAAAATCTTCATCCTCCTTCTCATCAGACTCATCATCAAAAACCTTTTCATATATATCTTCTTCTTCTTCCTTTTCATCTGAATCTTCAAACAGCTTTTCATCAGCATCCTCCTCTTCTTCTTTCTCATTAGCATCTTCCTGCTCTTTTTCATTGGCAAAATCTTCATCCTCCTTCTCATCAGACTCATCATCAAAAACCTTTTCATATATATCTTCTTCTTCTTCCTTTTCATCTGAATCTTCATCAAACTCTCTCTCAGAACCTTCCTCGTCATCTAACACTCTCTCAGAGCCTTCATCAAATTCTGATTTGTCGGTGTCATTTTCTTCTAACTCTTTGTCAAGAATGTTTTCAGGAAACTCTTTGTCAGAGCCCTCCTCATCAAAATCATTTTCAAGGCCATTTTCTTCAAATTCTTTTTCGGAGCCTTCTTCTGACTGCTTTTCAGAACCATCTTCATCAGATTCTCTCTCTGAGTCATCCTCTCCGGATTCTTTTTTGGGGCTATCCTCCTCTTCAGACTCCTTTTCAGGGTCATCATCTTCAGACTCTTTGGTAACACCGTTCTCTTCATAATCACATTTGAGTTTCTTCTTTTTAGATTCTCTCTCAGGGCCATTCTCTTTCAACTCCTTCTTAGGACTACCCCCTTCAAAATCTTTTTCAGAACAGCCTTCTTCATATTCTCTTTTGGGACAGCCTCCCTCACACTCTTTCTCAAGGCAGCTCTCTTCAGACTCTTTTTCAGGGCAGCCTTCTTTGACCTCTTCTTCAGGCCCACCTTCTTTAGCATCTTTTCCAGAAGCCTCTCCTTCAACTTCTTCCACATCTTCTGCTTTTTCAAACTTCTTCTCATCAATAGGTTCTTCAAATGCCACTCCAGTTGCAGCTTCTTGAGCATTCATTTTAGATGTGCTTGGGTGCTCTGAAAAATGCCTTATTCTAGAAGGCCCTGCCCTTTCTGAAGCACAGACAGAATTTGAACGCTGAAGGCCTCTGTTGGCCTCCGGGGCATTGAGGAATGCCTCCCATCCTCTCAGCCTTTCCTCTCTTTCTCTTGAGGTCTCCTCCACCTGTGGATGAGTAGAAACTGCCATTAAAATGAGTTTTAGGCAACAAGAACAATTTCTCTGAGTGTTTCTAATACTGATGAAAATACCCTGATTTTATAAGGCAGCTCCCCTCAGGAAATCCTAGTAATATCTGTCTTCAGTTTTCAAACACTTTACATTTTGATTTACTGACTTTAAATAATAGCCAACCTTAAATCGGATCATTTAACTAAATGAAAACACCACAGTACTGCAGAAATGTTTCATGTCTTAAAAGTTAGTATTTGAGTTCTGTTTGGACACGACAACACAGAAAGGAAAAGAAATGGTTTGGTTTAATGTGTTCTTTTCTTATCACTATTCTGTGCAAGTCTCAAAATTTCAGACTTACAAACTGCAACATTTTTTCTTTCCATCCTCTGAATGCAAAGTGTTATTTTAAAAGAAGTGTTGTTACACTAAACAGATTAAACCAAACCCAAAACTTCATCCTAAAAGACTGCTTGATCAATATTTGTTGGTAATGAAACAATCTGTGTGCCCTTGATAACTGTAGAATTCACCTGATAATCTGTAGTCCCATCCCATGCTTGGGCGGTGATCTGTCGACCACCAAACCATCTTCCATCAAGGGTCTGAATACAATGATCAGCTTCCTCGGGATCCCTAAAGGACACAGAGGCCACACCATCTGGGTGCCTCTAGAAAGACAAGAATGAACAAAAAATAATGAACAATAAGATTAAAAGTAAAACACATTTGATAAAGTATGTAAGGAATAGTATTCTCTTTGATACTTCAAGGTAGAAGACTTTAAGAAGTCTTTCTCCTTTTTATCCCAAAAATGGCATGCATTCAGCTATTTCTTTAGCTACATCTTATCTAGCAAGAGCCAGAAATATTTCTGCAAAAAATATTGTCTAATGAGAGATAAGACAGAGTAATTGTTAAGACTGTGAACACTGAAGTGAGATTCACTCTGGGATTAAATCCTGGCTGTTAGTTACCAGCTGAATAAACCCTGGGCACGGTGCTCCATCTGAAAAGTTTTACTTTTCTCATCTGTAAAGTGGGTAGAATAGTACTTACCTACCTTGGAAGGGTTGTTGAGGGCTAAATGAGATAATATGTAAAGGAGCTAATAGTACAACAAAAATAAATGGTGACTTTAAATTGCTATGTCAATTTTGGAAGTAAAAGAAGGATGAAAAGGGGAAATATACAGTAGAATATTTTCCCCAATTGATCCAAATATAGAGAAGAATAATTTAGAGAGGGGAAAATGTGGACAAATAGGGAAAAATAAAGTCTTGTATATTTTTCTTGTAGTTTCTTTCACCTGATCACATCCTCTAAGAGGGATGAAGAGAAATGAACAAGACATACCAAGTCTATCAAAGCCTTGACTTGTAAAAAATGTCTATCTTTGTTGATAGATGACTACCATCAGATAGCAAACTTACTATATTAAAATATTAATCTAAAATTTAGGGGCTTACTAATGTTCAATAATCATTTATTAAGCTAGAAAAATAATTGCTTTAGGATTCATTTTTCCAAGCCATGAACTTACATCAAAGAGAAGGAGCTTCCTAATTTGTCCAAACTTGGAGCACTCTACTCGAAGATCTTCTCTGATCTCATTCAGCACCAATGGATCGTCCTGTAAAAATTAACATAATTAAAATGTTTTCCTGTTTCTTCAACTATAATTCCTGAGAATCAAATTTATTGCTCTGACAAACCCACAAATAAAAAAGGTTTTGCTTAAGTTTGACTATGTCTATAGTCTACAAAATTAAAAAAAAAATCAAAATCAAATGAAGTTAGACCACTGTAGACAATGCTATTAGTATATGTCTACCCTGCTTTAAGACAGAGGAAATGGACAAACATGGCAAAGAGAAAAGGGGGGCCTATAGTGACAAAGGAAAAAAGGAAGGGAAGTGAGACTGGAAATTCCAAATTAACAGCAGCAGTAAAGGAAGAAACCCTGTGGCACACTTTTAGTCATAGACTGGTAATTCCTGTACTGCACAGGCATCATAGTAATACTGATGAGTCCTTTGTTCTGATTTTCAGATAGATTCCTATTTACAGAAATGTTGCAAAGGAGAAAGAGATATCACTTTTATTGACTAAATTTTCTAAAACCTTTTTTGTGTTTGTGCTTTCAAGATTCTATTTTAACTCACAAGGTAAACCTTAGGAGGATTCTTATTTATCTTATCTTCTGCTGTGTTATAACAAGTCAACACAGCACACAAAGTATAAAGCAAACATTAAGACATATTCTTACTGTTGCTCTTACAACAACCAAGTGTACAGAGAACATTTGAGCATTGCTATTTCTAGTAGCCAAATTCAGGTGTACTTTCCTCCTCATACCAAAAGGATTTTTAATATTCCAATGGGAATATTTGTCTAAGTTTCAATGTATGAAAAGGGCTCAGAGAAAGCTAGGTTTATAAACTTGAATTTCAACTACAAACAAATATAAACGAAAATATGCTATCTAAGAATTTCTATTGAAGTCCATTTATACTAAGAAACATTTGAATGCATCTATCTTTCTCACAGGGTTTTATTTTTCTTACCAACTAAAAAGGAACTACGATGAAGTATCAAAAAGTAGCTTTTCTCCCTTAAAGTTCTCTCAAAAAGCAACAATAAATTGGGAAGCAGTTACTGAAATCAGATTTAAAAGAAAAAATGTAAAACCCAATTTGCACAAATCTGCAGCTTCTAAAAGTATAACTGGCAGATTGAATTTCCCTATTTATAAAACCTTGTTTTGGAGAAGAAAACCTAATTTTGCAGAACTATCAGATCTGAAAATGGTGCAATGGAACATAAACATCTTTTGATAAAGTCACGCAGTGGCCATTGGTGATGTATGTGTCTAATCAGGTCCTATGGGATCATGTGCTTGCAGAAGGCAGGAATCTTGTTTCACTGAGTTTTGTAAACAGTACACAATTTTATATACAGCCAATAATCAATAAAATCTTTTTCAGAGTTTGACAAACTGTTCCTAATCTCTCTCTTATTCACCAAGAAAAATTGGGGTTATATAAAAAAACAAAAATAAAAAGTTTCTAAATATTTAACAAATTTTGAATTTAAATGTGATTCCATTAGGGTGGGGGAAACCATTATTTCTACATCAATTTCTCAGTATTCTTCCTATAAGATAAGTATCAATTCTGAGCCTTAGTCTTGCCAGACCTTTGTTTTCATTTATACCAACTTGAAAAACTAATACATTATCATTGCTGTACAGTATCCTGATGCTCCATGATAACGTTCTCCTCCTTTAGGAAGACTCTTTAACCTAGTGAGCTACACATGGTAATTTTCTGAAGATGGCATTTTGCAAGCAATAGGCCTGTGACTAAAATTGGCCTCACGCACTACAACTTTCTACCATCAATTCTCAGTATTTATTTCCCCCATGATGGTGTTTCATTTTGTATAGAAGAAATAAATGATATTTCTCATGCCTTTCCAATATAAAATTACACTAGCTAAGACAGTGGACACTGATCACACAGGGTTACTGAACATTTGAAATGTGGCTAGTCCACCTCAAGGTACTCTAGGTGTAAAACAGACACTACACTTCAAAAATTTAGTACCAAAAGGAAAAAAAGGAGTATACCTCACTAATATTTTTATACTCACTATATGTCAAAACTGTAATATGCTGGATATGCTGGATTAAATTAAAATTCACAAAAATTTAATTTCCTTACTTTCACATTATATTTTTATTTGGATTACGGAAAAATTTAAAGTTCACATGGGGCTTACCTTATACTTCTATTGGACATTGCTGATACACACAAAGAGAAACATACCTTTGCATTTGAATTTTCACTCCTCATCTCTTGGGATTCTAATTTGCCAGACATTACATTTTTAAATAAGGCTGAATCGAATACTGCAGACCCTCTGAAGTGACATTAAAAACATTAGGCTTCACTGTTTACCCTGCTGCCAAAGAGTATTTTTAGATATGCTGCTTCTAACATTGGTCAATTGTTTAGAATAAAAATATATTACACTCCCAGAATCTTGACTTATTTCTGATAACTTGAAGTAACTTGACAATTCAGTTTTTTGTTTCCCACTAAAAAGCTCAATGCTAATGTCTGTTCTTTAGGCTCACAAGAAGTCTTCAGTCAAATCAAACAATCCCAAAAATTATGTAATGAAAGCAGGCTTTCCTGTTAAACCCTTCTATTCATTGTCACATAACGTCTATACCAGTATTGTCTAATACTTTTTATGATGATAGGAAATTTGCATATCTGCATTATTCAATTTGGTAGCTATTAATTGCATATATAGCTCGTACAGTTGAAGAACTGAACTTTTTATTTAGTTTTAATTAAACTATACATATGTGGCTAGAGTCTACAATATCAGATAGTATAGGTCTACACTATACATTCTGAAGTTCAAGACCACAGAGATAGTGAACAAAAACCAAGACTGTTCTCTCTCTTGCTAACAGGCTCTTGTCAATCTAGTTGGACCACTTGAAACTAGGTTGGTGCACAATCAAGGAGAGGGCCAAGGATTTCTTTGCTTGGGAGTTCTGAAGCCTACCACTGCCAGCACAGACTGTCCTGCCACCCTCTGAAGCATAGCATCTGAGAAGAAAATTGCTTTCATTTACAAAGATGTAAAGCAGAAATATTTTATCCATTGCATGAATGTAGAAACTCTGGCTTGGAAGTGATAGGGATTTCATTCATTCTTTCAATTATTCTTCATATAAATAATAGGGCAGGGGCTGGGAGTGTAGCTCAGTGCTAGAGCATGTGCTCAGCACACACTAGTCTCTGGGTTCAATTGCAGAACCATAAAATATAGGGAGGGCCTAATAATAAATACATATTTAGGGTCTACAATTCTATGCCCTGGGACTACAGCAGCAAACAGAGTAGGCAAAGTCCTGGTCTTCATGGAACTCATATTCTAGCAGAAGAGATAAAATTATTTCAGATAATAATAAATGACACAAGGGAAACAAAACAGGGTAAAGGCTCTGTAACTCCAAAGTAAAGTTTACACTAAACCAAGAAGTATTTGTTTTTAAAGAATCAGAAATTTATAAGTAGATCTGTAAGGGTTAAGATGGAATAAATGTAGCTTGGAGGGGATAATATTTATAAAGCTAAGTCAGCTCAGGGTGACAGTTACACATAAATAGGGTCTGTCAATAAGCAAGGCAGGAGGCAGAAACAAGAACATACAAAATTTACAGACTTCTTTAGAGGGTCTAAATGCTTTAAATTAAGTTTGCAATTACATTCACATTTGAATGTCAGGAGTTTGATATATGTGAATCAAGGGCTTCAAGTCACGTAAATAAATATGCCACCTAATCAACAAACCACTTATTCACCAGGGAGATAAAATTCGATGAATCACAGGAAATTCTAGAGTTGTACCTAGTAGACTAGACACTGTGATTTACCTATGAATTGCTTTTAAAGTCCTACCCAGCAAGGACAGCACTTCAAAAAGCAACTACAGATGCTATGCAACTTACAATGGGGTTACGTCCCAACAAACCTATCAGAAATTGAAAGTATACTAAGTACAAAATGCATTTAGTACACTTAACCTACTGAACACCAGACCTTAGCCTAGACTCCCTTAAATATGCTCAGAACATTTACATTAGCCCATAGTTGGGCAAAATCATCTATTTTATAATAAAGACTTGAATATTGGATGTAGTTCAATGAACACTGTATATAAACTGTAGAGTACTGGTTGTTCATCCTCATGATTGCTAGCCTGGGAAAAAATCAAAATCCAAAATTTGAAACACCATTTCTATTGAACATATATTGTTCTTGTACCATCATAGAGTCAAAAATGTGTTAAGTCAAACCCAGGTAAAGTAAGAGACCTTCTGTAGTGTGCTTGTACACATGTGTGTTTTTAAGTCATACTTCATTACTCCTGCAAGTCTACAATAGCTCTGTAATATTTCAAGGTTCTTCTGGATTTCTGGTCAGCAGAGACACCATGCAACTTTACAAATATACCACATGCATCTATCCAATGACTTTGATACTGCATTTTGACACTGTTTACAAACCAAGCGCAGAACAACAAGAATGAGCACTGATGGCACCTACCACATTTGTAAAGCTGGAATTTTACATTATGAACAGTTTCTTCATGTATGACTTGCTATAATTCCAGAACCAGACAGAGAATAGAGTTGCTTTGCCAGTAATGATAGTGTCAATCTACATCAGCAAAAATTAGAAGCAGAATGCAGCACAAGATACCTTGACAACTATTAGTATTCCTCAAACCTCTTCAGTACTAGAAAACTTCCTTTATTCATTTATTCCCTGTTCTTAAGAATTTTACATGGACATTAAATATTATAACCTTCTCCTAGTAGCCATTGAAGGGTTTTGTAAAACTGAGGTTCTGAAAAAACAACACCCGTTATTTAAAACATTGGGGGCTTAATTTCATTATATTAAGGATTAAACTTTTAGTAGCAAAGTGAGTTTTCATTTGCAAGTGTGCAACTGGTACTCTCCACCAAAATCAGCCCATACTTGTTGGATTGCACTCAAAATCCACAAACTATCCTCATTGATTTTTAAATGATGATATTTCTTAACAATTTCCCACACCAAGAGGCTGTTATTTGGGGCCACGATAAGAGTATTAAGCTGAGGGATATAGAAGTTCACTGGACTAGACAAAGGGGAATGAAGGGAAGGAAAGGGAGATGGGACTAGGAAAGCAATGGAATCAATCAGATGTAACTTTCCTATGTTCATATACATACAACCACAAGAATGGCAAGTTATAATCCATGTGTGTTTGATATGTCAAAATATATTCTACTATCCTGTATAACTAAAAAGAACAAATAAAAAAATTTAAAATAAGACTACTAAACAGTTTTACTGGGATACAATTAAAAGAACATGGTGCCAAACAAAGACAAATCCAAAACATCAGATTGATTCTTGGCTCCATTTTTCTGCCTTATCCACTACCTGAACATGTAGGATGTGACATGACAAAGATGGAAGATGACCTTTGGGCTCCCTTGAAAGAAAACATATCAGAATTCCTATTCGTTAGAACACCATTTCCTACCTCAAAATCCATAGGGTGAAACATATTTTTGATGATGACAACTCGCTCATGGCGCATCCGGGATGGCCCAGCTCTCCTCTCAGGTCTCCAATCTAACTGCCTAAATATCATAATATAGTAGAAAGAAAATGAATTTTGTTTCAGACTTGTTGGACAGAAAATGAGTTACTAATATAACCCTTTGAATATTTAATAATGATGATTATTTGATTCTAAAACAATGTATATTTTTGTCACAATTCCATTCACAGAACTTTCTGAAATAAAAACGCTGGGCAGGGGTAAAAATAAATCTGGTACCTGAAACCCTCAGCATATATAAGCAACTCATCTCATACAAACATTCCAATGGGACTCCTAAAATTCCTAATTATTTACTTCTTATTATTCTCTAGGAAGATATGTAGTTGTTCCTCAGCATATATGGGTGACTGGTTCCAGGACCCACCTTGGATACAAAACTCATACTCGAGTCCTTTATGTAAAATAGCACAGTATTTGCATAGAACCTACACATATCCTCCTGTATACTTTACGTCACCTCTACATTACTTATCGTATCTTATATGATATAAATGCTACATAAATAGTTGTTATACTGTATTGCTTAGGGAATGATAACAAGAAAAAATTTCTCCATGTTCATTACAGATGCAATTTTTTCTCCAAATATTTCCAATTCACAGTACACTGAGTCCACAGATATAGAACACACGGATATGAAAAGTTGACTGTATTTTGAGGTTAAAAAATGTTTTGTGTTAGTTTTTAGGCACTTTATCATTATAAAGAACAAGCTGCACAGAAATATGTAAAACTACTCACTTTGTTACAGTCTTAAATTCTACTAATACCATTTACAAAATTTGTAGTATCTTTTTAAACTAATCTTGTAAAAACTATGGGACAGTACAACTAAACACTTTTATTATTATTTAACATCAGGGAAAGTATTTATCCTTTTCTTAAAACTAGCATACTTCAGTCTGTTTAAAAATATATTAATAAAAACATGACAACATTACATATATGCTACAGAAAATACAGTAATAAAGCTTATCATTTCTAATTTCTACTAACAAACCTGTATATAAAAATTTAGCTCCTGGTATAACTGATTTCAATTCACATTAAAAATAAACCAAAAGTTCTGGTATATAAGCCTAAACTATCTTGCTAATTTAATGTTCAACATTTTCAAAAAATGATTTTTCTTGGGGCTGGGTTTGTGGCTCAGTGGCAAAGCGTTTGTCTAGCATGTGTGAAGTACTGGGTTTGATTCTCAGCACCACATATAAATAAATAAAATAAAGATCTATTGACAACTAAAAAATATTTTTAAAAAATGATTTTTCTTAGCTCAGTTAATTACCATTATATTATAAATAAATACCACAGAAAAGAAAAATACCACCATTGCCAAATCAGCCCATCAACTAGATTACCAAAGATCCCTGGTGAACTAATGAAATTCTTTAAAAATGATCTGTAGATATTTTTGATGAAACAAAACTAAGTGGCTACTATCAAAAATATACTTTAGGATATTTATATGGAACCTTTCAAAAAGAAAAAAAAATACAAACTTCTGTTGCAGAGACAGCTTCTTCTTATAGTCTTTGCACTTCTTCTTCTTCTTTGAGGCGTCATATTCCCCCTTCAGCTGAAACTTTGCTACCTCGACATGTAATTTGTAGCCTCTAATTTCATCTTCATCCAAAAGTTTTAATGCAAGTTCCACAGATTCCCTCTTTATAAAGGTAAAATAAAATACAGTCAATAAGTTACACACTGAAAACTTGAGAAGTCTTTTAGAAAGGAATGATGACAACTACCTACTTTGAGATAAAGAACTCTAGAATGTAAATAAGGAAACTTGCTTTGGAGACACAGCTGCCCCTAACCAGCTGTGTGAACTTGGGCCCCTTACTTAAACTCCCGAGCCCCAATTTCTTCCTTTGTAAAATGGAATAGTACTATCTTCATCACAGGGCTCCTTGTGAAATGAAATAGTTCACGCAAAGGGTAGGAACTAGCAGACAGTTAAATATTCAATAAAATAATTACTGGGTTAATTTTGCCTCTTGGAATGTCAATTGCACATCTACAAAATAAGGTGAGTAGACTTGCATAATGGAAGGTTGATTCTAGTTTTAAAATCCTATAGTACTCCCACCTGAAAGGCTAGATGACTCAAGGAACTGGGAATAAGATTTCCAGCCTTTAATTTTTTGCTTCAACAACTAAAATATTGGTCTGCAATACACTAATAAGTAGAAGATATCTAGCGGCATATTTATGAAGTACACTTATAGATTGTGGGTCCTACATAAGGTGGGCAGTTATCAGATCCAAAGAGTCTAAGACCTGAAGGTGTGAGGAAAACAAAACTGAACTCAGCTGCTCAAATCAAATATGGATCTTAAAATAATTACCCCAATTTTTCTGGAACTCAATTTACTGGTTTGATAATCTTGTGCTTTTATGGGCCCTAAATTATATATATGAAGTTTCATAAACTCCATTTTTTAAAATCCAATCAAACCCCCTTAAAGAAGCAGCTCACAGATGTTTAATAATCCTTGAAGAACTATAAAACTTACAAATCTCCTTACATTTAAACGCTACAAAAGTACTTCCCTCAAATGGTCATGCTTATGTCCCACACCCATCTTATTTAAGAACAAGGTTAAAAACCTACCTACCAAAAAGCTGTCAGCTTAATCCTTCCCTCTTCTGGTCTTACTGAAATACAGCAGATTCACAACACACTTGTAGTGCTTGCACTGCTGTTGTACCATTTTTATTTTACTTTATAATTATTGTCAGGTTCTATGACAAATGTACATTTCATTATCATGTACATTTTGTACCCAGCAATAACACATAATACTCGTTCCTAAGGTGGCAGGTGTTGTTGCCGTTGGCCCTGAGCTACCTCTGTGAAATTTATGGTACCAAGACTACACAAAACATCTGCAAATTTCTGTTAATATCATTCTCTTTTCTCCTATTCAAAAATATTTTAAAGCAATAAGCATAAGCTATCATCTCCTTTATGATCTAATTCCAGGGTCAGAAAAGTCATTTTGTAAACAGCCATTTAGTAAGCAGTTTAGGCTTTGTGGGCCATGAGGTCTATGCTCAAATATGCAACTCTGATGAAACACAAAAGCAGTCTCAGACAAATGCATACATGAATGAGTATGGCTGTGCTCCAATAAAGCTTTATTTACAAAAACAGGTGGCAGGCTGGAGTTTGCAAAACCCTGGTCTAATTCATTGCAACAGGCCAAAAAAATGTTTCTGGCTTTCATTTTTCTTCTCAGATTTTTAAACCATTTTCCCAACTGATTACACACATTGATGAACAGATCTTTGCACTGAGAATTTTAAGACAAAAGAAGCACTTCAGGCACATACTTATATACTTCCAAAACACGCAAAAACCTTACCAAAGTAATACACACAGGTACCACCTGAAATTTCAGTTTTCTTTATACCCTGTTTTGAATACTGCTTGGTTTAGGTTATCACCTTTTATAGTCCTGGGCTGGGATTGTGGCTCAGTGGCAGAGCATTTGCCTTGCACGTGTGAGGCACTGGGTTTGATCCTCAGCACCACATAAAAATAAGTAAATAAAATAAAGGTATTGTGTCCATCTACAACTAAAAAAATTTTTTTAAATGATTATAGTCCTGGCTCCTGAAGTAAAAATGGTGATACAAAGGCCAGGTGCAATAAATCATGCCTTTAGTCCCAGCTACTTAGGAGGATGAAGCAAGAGGATCATTTGAGCCCTCAAGTTCAAGATCAGCCTGAGCAACAGAGTGAGACTTCCATTTAAAAAAAATGGAAATACAAGAACTTATTTGATCATATAACTAACCTTCAAATAACAGCAAAGCCCATCTCCTTTAAGATTTCCTTGATTATCTTTGTAAAGTTTGACCTTAAATTCTTCTGTATGAGGATCCCTCATAATAATACCAAACTTGGACATAAGCTGTATAAATTCATCCACTGTAATGTCAGGAGGTAAACCTGTAAAATCAAGAAAATTTTCCAAAATATTTATAAAGGTGAAAGTTACTTAGCATTCTATCAATTAGAAATTTACAACTTAGATGAATGCAAAACTGATTTTCCAAGTGAATGCAAAAATCTTACATCTATCAAACTAAGGAACATTCACATATTTATGTATTCAAATATATATTAAAATTATTTTTGCTTAGCCCTCACTGAATCTGAAGAGGGCAAACTGTCATCAATTAGCTAACACAGGTAAAATGGATGGTATATGCAAAGTTACATACACTTAATTTTTCTTAGTTCTGTAATAAGCATATTCCTCATTAGTGTAAACAATTGAATAAACAATTCTACAATGAGCCAGGCATAGTGGCACACATCTGTAATCCCAGCAACTTGGAAAGCCGAGGAAGGAGGATCTCAAATTTGAGGACAGCCTAAGCAACTTGACGAGACCCTCTCAAAATGGAAAAAAAAAATGTCTGAGAATGCAGCTCAAGGGCAAAGCACCCCTGGGTTCTATCCCCTGTTCCAAAAAATATATACACATATACATATAAAATACACACATATATATACATCCAATCACAAAGATTTTAAAAATGGACTTCAGAGGAACTAAAACTAAAAATCATTTTGAAAAAATCTCAACATCAAATATTTTCAATCCTGGGCTGGAGTGTGGCTCAGTGATAAAGCACTTGCCTCAGATATGTGAGGCACTGGGTTCGATTCTCAGCACTGCATATAAATATGAATAAAATAAAGATCCATTAACAACTAGAAAAAATTTTTAAAAATTGTTCAATCTTAAGTTTGTTTTAAAAGGTATACATACCAGACACATATACATTTGTATTTCTGTCTTCTTCAACATGAAACCACCCTAAAAATCAAAAAGAAATACATAAAATGCTTAAAAGCCAAGATAAGAATTACATTATGAAATTTTGACAATGTGACAGTTTCTTAAAATTTCTAGGAACTTTCTCTTACCTTTAGAAGACTAATAAACTAACTCAAATCACTGCCTATCTTTCAAATATTTGAACCTTTTGACAAATTTGTTTTCAAGCCCTGGCTAAAAGAGAAGATGGTCATTTTATCTTGATTCTTTATGACTCAGACATCTTAAAGAAAAAAACTCATTTCTTCAGAGCTATTATAATTCCCCCAAAACTAACTATATATGTTTACACACTCACATTTTAAATTTTTATGCTCATGTTTTGCAAGGTACAACCACTTGCCTGATTCAGCCTTTCTTTTTTCTCCCTTCTTTCTAGGATCAGCAGGTTCAGGGGTTTTTCTTTGTGGCGGTTCCTCTGCAGTCCTAGTGTTGGCATCTTGGACATTTGCAGTAGAACTAGATGCGCCATCATTAGAGAAGCCATAATTGGCTTGATAAGTAGCAATGAAATCTTCAGTGATCTGGACAAGAAAGTCAAAATGCATACACAAAAATTCAAAGTTATTTCCACCCATAAAAAGTTTAAACTTCTGCAGATTAACACTTGTAGTAATTAAACTGTAAATGCATAAAATACCAAAGCATTTAAAGAAATATTGGCTCCTTTTCTAATTGTTTCATTTGTAAATTATTACTTCCCTACCATACCCTTGACTAAGGCTACAAATACATAAAACAAAGGAAACAGCAGCTAACAATAATGCAGAACACCAAATGTCATCTAATAATCTATTATAGAAACCAATTTCTTACTGTTTAGATGCAATATATGTGTACAATAAATACACTTCTGTATATGAGAGCATATGGCATGCAACTCTTGATGTTTTGTATGAAGAATGGGGCTAACAATTGTAAAACAAAATGTTCATATTAACTCTATCACTAATTAAATGACACTATCATTCAATGTCAAAACAAATTAAGGACAAGTCCAAATCATATGTGTATTCCTTATTTTTGAAATCAACAACATAAAAAGAGAGTTACAAATTAATCCCTTACCAAATAATTGATAAGTACTCAGAAGGAAAAAGAAAACAAATCTGCACTCAAGCTGGTATCACTATACATAAGTAAACAGTCTACTTTAACAATTTGGAGAGATTGGAATATATACAACAAAAAATGGAAAAGAAAAACACTAAAGTAAAGTTTTAAAATAACCATCCAATCACACAATGGAGACATATTTGGTATTATTAGCTTGCAAGTTACTGTGTTGTTAATATCCTTTGATACTGATGCTCATATGAGTCTTAAGATTATCAGGGAACATTTACCACAAGTTTAGAGAACCAAGTTTAACACTAGTTATTTTACTTCCAAGCTGAAATAAAACAATTAACAAACTCTAAGTACTCCAAACAAATGTACACAGATCATTTCCATCCATCTTCTGTGCATTTTTAGTCACAGTCCTGTGGTTAAACGGTTCAAAGACATATGTCCAGGGACAAAATTTAGTAGGAAAATAAAGCAAAGGGCAAAGAAAAGTTCAAACAATAAAGATATATAAATGGCTATTTTTTTAAAAAAAATCAACATGCTTCACACAGTACATAAGCTTAACATCTGAATTCCCAGGATATATCACCTTGACTATCTTGAGATCAAACGTTACTAAATCTAGTGTTTTTCCTCTTTGCAATAAAAATCAGTCATCAATGTAATAACCAGCTGTGACCTTCACAGACAAAATTAATAAGGCAAACAAAAGGCATTTAAGACACCACCTAAAGATTTACGTTTCTCTACACATAGGTTCTGCAACAGACGCAACAAAAAGACACGTCATGACCAGACATGGGGGGCTAGGATCATGGTCCTTGGCAAAGCAAACGTAATAGGAGTACCAGCAAGGCTGGCCAGGCGGCCCTCTCCGCAGTGGCGCCTGTGCCTCTATCTTACCTTGGGGAACCATGCCTTCTTGTCCAGGTCCCACTCATAGGGGGTGTCAGCCGGCTGCTGCCCAAAAGAATCGGCTTCTCCGCTGGGATCATTCTGGGTGTCACCGTCCTTGGTGTCTCCGTACAATTCTTGCATTCGCAACTGCTCATCAAACTCATCGTTCGCATCCAAGTTGTTGCTGCTCATGTTTCCTACCTAGCCCACCGACAGGGTTTAGACTAGAGAAAAGGCCCAGATGACGCTGGAAGGGAGCAGAGAAAGGGAGGTCCGCTGTGCTCAGCTCGAGCCCCGCCGCCCCCGGCCCGCCTCCCCACTGCGCCCCAGCAGTCCCCGGGAAGTCAGGGCAGTTCTGCCGCCGCACCGCCCCCGGCTCCGCCCGCCCGCCAGCCACACACGCGCGCGCGCATTGCTACTCTGAGCTCGGCCGCGCCGCCGCCCACCTGGCTCACTTCACAGGGCTGCGGTGCCGCTGCTCGGTCCGGGACGCAGCAGTAGCGCGCACGCGCGCCGCCGCCGCTGCCGCTGCCGCCGCCGCCGCCGCCGCCGCCTACCGGGTCTGAGACGATCGCGGCTCCCGCAGCTCCCGCGGCAATGTCAGGAAATGATTTAAAAACGAAGCCCCACAGAGCCTGACGCAGTCGCCATTGCCGCGTCGCGACGTCGCGGATAGCGCCGACACGCCCACAATAGCGTCAGAAGGCGCCGACGCAGGCTTGCGGCTCGCGAATCGGGGGCGGGGCCCCAGGGGGCGCGTAGCTGTCTCGTGTCAACGCCCACCAGAGCCCTCCCGGAAACGGGACGTGGCCCGCTGGGACCCGCAACCCCTTAGGAACCTGAGGCTCAGCGGAGTCTCCCACGGGTTGGGCGAGGTTGGGCTCCGGCGGTGTCCCGAAGGAAGGCGTGGGAATATTCCCATGCAGCGGGCGCCGGGCGGTATCGCGGCAGGCGCCATCTTGGGAAAGTGGGTGGGGCGGGCAGGAGAACTTTCTCTTGCTTAGAGAAAATGACGCGCCGCGCCTCCTTCTCCTGGTAGCCCCTCCCCTGCGCAGGAAAGGTCTTTTACTTATTTTTTAATGATTGCTCTAGGATAGGCATAGGCTGTAGTTCAACGTGGCCGCCTAAGTACCTGACGCGGGGTCTGGTGTCTAGTGCGGAGTGAGTGTATGAATGAATGAACGAACGATGGGATGAAAGTGGCAACCTTTTCCTAGGCTTATCTCCCTCCTATATTGATCTGGTACCTTCCTCAGGCTGTAGTTCAATTCTATTGGAAGAAAAGATGGGCAGCGACCTTATACTCTAGTACTCAGAGGTACTCAAGGTCCAAACTTGAAGCTCAATTTGTAAACATTCCAGTGTAAATGCCAGTTTCACTGGTTGACTGTTTATTTTATAAATACACAACATGTTTCTTTTTTAAATAGATTTTTTTCAAAAATTGTACACATTGCTGAAAGTGAAGGGGTCCATATTTTTTAATTGGGTGGATACTTATTGAAATACTAAGTGCCAAGCACTATACCAGGCTCTGGCGGCAACAGTGAATAAGACAGGCACAGTTCAAGGGAGAAAAAGTTGGAAAAGCTGGTAAATGATATGGTAGGAGAAGTACATCAGGATGTTGGAGAACAGCATACTTAAACTTTTGGGTCTCTGCACCACTTTACACTCAAAAACTATTGGAGACCCCAGAGAGCTTTTTTTTTATAGGTGGATTATATTTATCAATATTTGTTGCTCTAGTATTAAAAATTCCACTTAAAAACTATTAATTCGTTTAAAATAATACATTATGTGTAAACATGAGTATAATAACCCAGACTTCAGAGTGGGGAAAAGCTTCCCAGAATAAATTATTTCTACTATTCCAGTGACCTTTGCTTATAAACAGAGGTTGTGTGTAGATTCTAGAAAACCCTGGTTCCACACATACCAGCAATGTGAATCTAATTTCAATCATAATAGTGTTTTTAAAATAGTAGTTTGGGGAGCTGGGACTATAGCTCAGTGGTAGAGCACCTGCCTCATGAGGTGTGAGGCACTGGGTTGGATCCTCAGCACCACATAAAAATAAATAAATAAAAAGATACTGTGTCCATCTATAACTAAAAAAAATATTTTAAAAAATAGTAGTTTGGGTTTGTTTTTGTTTTCAATTACATTTTTTTCGTATCATGAAACTCTTTTCTGGTAAGAACAATTAGTGAACTGAATTTCCATGCATTTTATATGGGTTTTTTTTTAGACTCCTTTAAATATTGCTAAAGGTTTCTTCCTAGATCCAAAAATTGTATATAGCTGTTTCCAGCAGTGTTATTGGGCTCCTGTTTCATTCCTGAATTTATAGTATAGGTGATTATATGCTCCTTACCCTGCTGCACATGACAGTGAGTGCCTGCTGTACACCCAAGCCCTTCACAAGCAGGCGCATATTCCTTATGCCTAAGTCCCATGTCACCCAGCCACCCTGGCCCAAAGACTACCCAGAGGTCTGTGGGGTGACCTGGCAGGTTGGGTAGCAATGGTTTTAGACTGGGTTCGGTTGTCAATAAGAGCTTCCCCCAGGAAGATTGAGTATAGAACACATGGGTGTCAGACTAGAGCAGAAGCAAGGAGACTCAGAAGGTAAAAGGAGCAACTGAAGCAGCATTAGTTACTGATACCTGATAATAATTGAGCAGTGGAATTGGGAGCTAAGCACATTTGTACCTATGATGCCATTCTCTTTCCTGACAGTTGCTGTGGTCTATGAGGCCAGGTTCCTCTTTGTGCTTTTTCTATTTGTACAGAATAACTCCTAGTAACAGGTGATCTGGAAACATCTCTCTTTGCAACCTGTATTTTTTTTTAAAAAAATTTTTGCAAGTCACAGAAACACTCAAAGTAACAAGTAAAACGGGAGTCTATGAAGATAGGTGGTAGCTCCTGAAACTCCAGAGCACAATGGACATGGGTCACATAGATATTGCTGAGCTTAGGAAGAGGAATCTAAATAGCCAGCTTCTCTCTGAATAGTTGCTTCATCCTCCTCTCTCTGACCTCTGAAAGGGGTGATCGTGTGGTACTCCTGGCCTAATAGAACACAGCCTTTGTGGTAAATAGAAATACATGAATTTACCAAAATAGAGAATCCTTGGCCAGAAAAGTCACCTCTCTAGCCTAGGAACTCTTTCTGGAAAGTTAAGGAACTATATCAAACTATATTTTGTAAAAATAGCCTCTTCAAGCCCGTTCTGTTCAGGAATGTTCTTGTCCCCATACCCTGTAATCTCAAGACTTAGTAGAAATAAAAAGACTTCCTTCTGACAGATTGATGGATCCTTGACCTAAGATGGTTCAAATTGCAGAAATTCTTTGCAGCAGGCACACCAGTGTTAAATGTAACACTTTGAACTTTTATGACAGACTTTCCTGATGAACATTATTTTGGTTATACCTAATTTTGGACTATGTTTTCATGATTTATAGTGTATTATTATAGTCCATATCCTAGATCTTGGGTGAGGGAAGACTGAGCAAAATTGAAACATACATGAAGTTTGTTGGGCACATGTCCCACTTCTCCACTATCTAGGGCTCTCTCCAAAGAAATGAAATCTTCCATAGGAACATTTATGGTATGATAAGCAGTAGTGTGAAAGAAATTGTGGATATTGTGGCCTACTTGTAAGGTTACCTCTGACAAAATCTGTTAAAAGAGAGACTACCTCCTCTGAAAAAAATCAAAACAAAGCGATGAATTTTAACTCCAATTCTCCAGCTAGGGATAGGAGGAGGTTGACCCCCTATAAAACTATTTAGGAAATTATTTTGTATCAGATACTCACTTGGGGATTACTAAGAATGAAAATAAAGACATTTCTGTGATCTCTGGTTTTATGAACTACTAAAATGTTCTCTTGGCTTTTGTAACCTGGTACTTTTATTGTTTCTAAAATGTTATGCTTAGTAAATATGTAACTTTTACTCAAAGTGAGGAAAATGGTAATATTTTGGAGTTATGTGACTTGGAGTTAAAATGTGTTCTTAGTTATATTCTGCCAGAAATGCTGTTTTTAAAATATGAATTACACAAAGCCATTTCAAACTTTTATTTCATATTTGTTTCCCCTGCTGATTACAATGTCAACTTTAAAACAATATTAATACAATATCAGCACCCCCACTTTAAGTAAACCAGTTTTACAGAAATTTAGTCTATTGTTGATATATATCCCCTTTTTGAGCCACATCATTAGCAAAAGTTCACAACTACACAAGCCATTTAAAGAAAGCTCAAAACTACCGAAAGCACACTCAAAATTCGAGTTTTTTTTAAATACAAATTTAACTATCTATAGTGATAAACATAAGCTTTAATTTACTTCTGAGAATACATTTTCTGAAACCACAAATCTACACCTGACAAATCTATTGACAACAGTTTTTAAAATGACAGTAACAAGCTTATTGTGGTAGCAAGTAAGAGCAGAGGATAGAAGATCAGATTCTTCCATCTGATTTCCAGGGACACAGATTAATTATGTCATACTCTTACAGGACTTAGGCACCCTTTGAGTTTAATAAAATCAAGCAAGAAAATGATCTGATGATGATTGCACATCCAGGTGTTAGGGATTTCTGTGTGGTACTTCTACATGTTTTTAGAAAGAGGGCACTGCTTACCAGGAGGAAATCAGTTTCCTTAAAGGAAGAATTTCAGACACTGGCAGGATTGCAGATGTTTTGACAGGGTCCCTTAATGACACCATAAAACATGTCCATTTATTCTTCTGCCTGTGAATAAGGTTAATTCTTAAAAATACTTGTGGAAAATAACTTTGCCCAGTTATTAATCGATGATAGTTGTAAGTAGAAGCACAGTCAGTTAAGTGTTGACCCAGTAAAGCAATCATCGGCTCCAGACCCTTACTCAGTATTCACCCCCAAGCATTTACATGTCAATTGCACAGATTTATAATGAGATAGAGACTAATGGAAAAGGGCAGTCACTCTGTGAAGATGTTTTTTTTTTTTTTAAGAAAACTGCTTAAGAGACATTTTGTCTCTTTTAGATCTCCTTTTCATACACAAATTACAATTGTAGTTGCTATGTTTATACCACATTATAAACACAAACACAATTTTATGACAATCACATGAGTGTGAGAAATTCTAAGCATCAGAGAAGCAGTGGAAACAGTGGGTTTTTTAAGTTTGATCTTGTTTCTTTTGCCTTCCCTCCTGTTCAGCCTCCCTTACATTCACTGGCATATGCAAAAGCATTTTTCTATACTTAACGGTCTTGATTTTATTTAGACAGGCCAAAGGCATTACTGTTTGTACTTTGAAGAAAATCATGATTCATCTCTCATTGATAGGAATCCTTCACTCCTAAGATTCCAACACAATTCACAAACAACAAAAATCTGGACACCATACACCTATTCACAGCTTAGAGTTGGATACACACTTTGGGAGGAAAAACACCATTTTTAATTGAAAAGCTAGACTGTGTCCTCTTCCTTCTTCATGCTGCACCCACTGAACAGGGCCACACTAATTTCAGACACCTGTGTGCTCCCAGTGCCAGGAACTGGGACCCTTCCCATCACAGCCAGATTGTTAAGAGGGGTAGCAGCAGGAGAAGGTTCAGACAGCTCTGCCTTGCAGCAGAAAAGCTGAGCTTT